AGGTGTTAAACTAATTAATCTGAAAACAAAAAGAAAGTAAAAAATACAAAAAGCTACCCCAACTTCCTACATTAAAAACAGGAGAAAGGGGTCATCACAATAAATGGCACTCGTCCCCTACTTTTTCCAAATTCACAAAGTCTAGTTAAGCTTTCACATATTTAACAATGGAAGCGAAGAGAAGCTGAGTGGAGTAGAGTGTTGTGCTGGCCTAGACAGGCACACTTCCAGGCAGAGAGCCCTGAACGTCCCCCAGGTAGTGGCTTGCTGACCTCTTTTATGCAGCAGGGCGCACTCGTGTGGTCATTCACAAACCTTATGCAACATACAAGGGAGAAAACACAAAATGCCAGCACAAAGCACACTTAGGGAATATTGTAACCAGAAATCATAACATGAATTACTTACTAGTCACAAAATATGTGACTGAATTGCATCTCCACAAAAATATTGAAAAACTAACCAAATTTTGTCAGGTGACTTCACCTTTTCAGCCAAAAAAGCATTAATGACTGGACAGGATAGATAGGCCTTGGCATAGGGGTCAAAGTGTTCAGGGTATTACCTTTGACAAGAAATTCTCTTATTTGTTTTACTATTTCAGGATCCATATTGAACTCAAAGTACTTGAAAGATGGAAAGCTTATATAACATCTATTGTCATACCCAATAAACAATATCATATAACAAAATGTAAAACAAAATTGAAGTCTTAATAAATTTATGTGGGAATGATATCACATTTTCATCCACTATAAAAAGACAAATTACACAAATCACAGTAAAGCAATAATAATAATAATAATAATAATAATATAAACAAAAATGTTCAAAATCTAATTGGTAAGTGGAAATGATTAGTGCTGAAAGCACTAATGCCTTACTGCAAAACTCTCAAAAAAACTCTTGCAACAAAAAACTTATAACTATATAATTCTAATTCTAGCTAGTCAGTAAAACTATACTGATTTTTTTTTAATTGTCATTAAAATTCAAATATTATTAGAATAGTACATTTCCTTAAAAAAGTAGAGTGATTGCGCAGGGTAAGGGATTTGAGAATGGTTCCTAAGGTGTTGTCAGGCGGTTGCTATGCTATTTTATATGGTTACTAGGGTGTTGATAGGTGGTAACTGTGGAATTCCAGGTGGTTGCTGAGGTGTTGCAAGGTGGTTGCTATCGTATCCCACGTGGTTGCTAGGGTGTTGCTAGGAGATTGCTAAGGTATCCAAGGTGGTTGCTAAAGTGTTGCTAGGTGGTTGCTATGGTATCCCAGGTGGTTGCTAAGGTGTTGTTAGCTGATCGCTATGATATCCCATGTGGGTGCTAAGGTGTTGCTAGGTGGTTGCTATTGTATCCTAGGTGGTTGCTATAGTGTTGCTAGGCAGTTGGTATGGTATCCCAGGTGGTTGCTAGGTGGTTGTTATGGTATCCCAGGTGGTTGCTAAGGTGTTGCTAGGTGGTTGGTATTGTATCACAGGTGGTTGCTAAGGTGTTGCTAAGCACTTGCTATGGTATTCAAGGTGATTGTTAGGGTGTTGCTAGGTGGTCGCTATTGTATCACATGTAGTTGCTAAGGTGTTGCTAGGTGCTTGCTATGGTGTTCAAGGTGGTTGCTAGGGTGTTGCTGGGCGGTTGCTATAGTATCCCAGGTGGTTGCTAGGTGGCTGCTAGGTGGTTGAAAGAAAGATTAGGGCTTTGTTGGTGGTGAAAATGAAAAGGACTCTATGGGAAGAATGAGGGATGAAAAATTGAAACATAGAGGAGTGCGGGTCAGTATGGCTGTGGATTAGAGCTTGGGAATCTGCCCTGAATGAGAACATGCATTTTGGTGGCTGTTGGTCAGCGGAAATATTAGGGCTTGGGTGAGGATGAAAATAGGACTCTATGGGAGAAACGAGGGATGAAAAAAAACAACACATATGGAAATGTGGGTCACTATGGCTGTGCAGTAGAGTTTGGGGACATGCAAATCTGACAAAATAATAATAATAATAATAATAAGAGGAAGAAGAAGAAGAAGAAGAAGAAGAAGAAGAAGAATATTAGTCAGATAACAATTTATTGCAGACTTAATATAATTCATAGATCACCTGAAAAGGTTTGCTTAGTCGTTTACTATGCTTTAGAAATGTATTAAACTCATATATTCTGGTAGCTGATTCTATCAGAATTGGTGATCCATATGCCAAGATGCCAAGGCCCACCTGTCCTCTCCAGTCATTAGTGTATTTTTGCCCCAAGTGGTGAAGGGATGGTAGTAACCTGGAAAGGTTTGGTTGTACTTTAACTATTTTTGGAGGTCCAGTGCAGTCATAGAAAACAATGAAAAAATAAGCAACACAAAGACCAGAATTTCCTTCATTACCTCAGACCAGTTTTCAGTTCGTTAGCAGCGCGCTATCGTTTTCTGTTGAAAAATTTTAAACCTTGAAGCTCAAGAAATAGAAAAGATGTTGCTGTAAAAGTGACTACAAGTAAACATTTAAGGAAAGTTAGAGTTCAGAAAAACCTGCATTTTTACTTAAAGAGGCTCAACAGAATTTCACAGAATTGAAATACATGCAATCATTAATCCAGTGAAAAATAACAAGAAGCTCATGTCTGCAATATAATTATTATAGTAGTAAAGAAGTCTCCAGCTGTAGTTTTCACACTGTTTTTTGGTGAGGGGAGAGGCAGTGAACCCGCCTGTGAAGGAGTCTGTCCTGCATAACACTTTTATTTTAAGCCAGTTTGGGTTCTTGTGGTCTCATTAAATAAACACTGTTTTATTGACCTTCATTGTGTAGATATAACTGCACTAATAATCATTATCTTGCTTTAGGCCAATAAGGGATGTTTTAAAAAAAGATTAGTATTTCATTGGTCGCTAGATGGCGCTGTGACTCTTTTGTGTTTATTGCTATTGGTACAAAGAACCAAACGCTTTTGGTGTCATTTAGAGTCTTAAACACGATCAGAAAAACGCCTGGACAAAGAAACCCATTTCAATAAAATAAAACCCATCAATGTTTTCAGTCTATTAACGTTGTTTAGTCTGAATGTGTTGTATATGATAGGATGATCCTACGGAGCCCCGGAGGGGACGGAGGTAAAAAAAAAATTAATTCGAGCGAACGTTTTGTACTTCGTACGCACGTTTTCTCTTATTCGTGGTCACGATTTGACACTTCATTTCACCACCAAACTGCAGCTGCACTGATGAATCTGAGGGCCGTTTGCTGTGAAGAGGAGCTGCAGTTTCCTCATAACGCCCCAAATCAAAATCTGACCTGATGAGCATCTCTGTTCATTATCTTATCAATCTAACTCATCAAAACCCATGAGACAGTCTCAGGAAGCTGTTATTTACCTCTGCACCGCACAACAAACACGACCTGTATCTACAACATTGATTTTGCGCACGAAAAAAAAATAAACAACGTGCGTTCAGTTAAAAATAAAGCATGACAACTATTAAAAGAAAACTAAAGAACGAATTAGAAAGTCGTGATCACGAATAAACAAAAACGTACCCACGAAGTAAAGAAAACGTGCGCACGTTTAAAGAAAACGAGGGAACGATTTAAGAAATCGTGACCACGAATAAGAGAAAACGTGCGTACGAACTGTAAAACGTTCGCTCGAATTAATTGTTTTTTTTTTGTTTACCTCCGTCCCCTCCGGGGCTCCGTATGATCCCATGCTAATAACTAACAATAATATTGATAGAAACGAGGGAATCAGATCAGATCACACCTCAGTCCAACTTTACACTGTATCAGAAATATGAGCAGTTATTAATGCCAAGTGAACCGAATAATCTCCGCCATGCCCTTGGAAACTGAACGACCCTGATGGTCGTGTCAGCGGCCTCCTCTCAACAGGAGTGAACAAAGCTCAGCCAGTCTTTTGATAACTGATTGGATGAGGGGAGTTCGCAGTTTATTCGTTTTACAAAAACATTGTTGTCCACTCGCCGAGGCACTTTTTCCCAATAAAACCAAATCCCGGCCCGTTTGGAACCCTGCCAACACTGAGAAGCAGCGTCAAAAAAGTCACATGACTGAGAGATGACGTCACAGAACCGCTCCATTGTGCAGTCATACTCGGAGCTACCAGCTGACACTTCCAGAAAAAGTGTTTTTCTTTTCAGAAACGCGTCGTTGCAACAATAACAGCACAAACAGGTCCGTCTGAGTCTTTTTATGCAGCTTTATTCACACAAAAAAGTCCGAAGTTCACTAACTGTTTGTGAACAAAGCCCACTGGATTTTAAAAGAGTAATGTTTGTTTTACGTGGGATTAAGAGTCGATAGACGATAATTACGGAGTTAATTTAGTATCTAAAGGAACGCGATGCTGAAACTGCAATTTTGTGAACGGCAAATTCTTCATTATTAAGGTTTTACTAACTGCAGTTTGTCAAAATATTGACTTAGGTTTTGAAAATTTTAATGTAGTATTTTATAATCACTTATTTTTTCGAGAAATTAACATAATGTCTCAAAATAATAACATATATTCTTAAAATATTGATCTATCTCCAAATAATTACTTATTTTTCCATAATGGTCATATATTGTTGCAAAATAATGAGCTATAAATTATGAGAGACTTTTGAAATACTGCTGAGAAGGAAGAAAACAATAAATATACATTAAGCAAAGTTAATAATCTGAAAATATTGATGAGTTTCTTTGTCTAAGCTTTTCAGATGATGTATGTAGATATGTTTAAAATTAGCCTTATGCTTCATTGGGAGAGTAAATTATTTCTCATTCAACTGTCCGATAATGAAACATTTGTTGCATTTTCAGACAAAAAAAACTGTAAATTGTTATGTATGACACTGAAGAGTTTTACTTATTTATGATTCTCCAAATCAGTGATTGAATGAGAAAAGAAAAGAAGAGAGAAAAGTCATGAAGAGAAGCAGAAAACACCGAAAGACAAAGCAGGTATAACATTAATAATCCACAGAAGTTATTTATCAGACTCTGAAGGAGCACACTTGAATGAATCCAGCCATTTTGTTTTGTAAAGTCAACAGCTCCACAGGAGATGAAGCAGGAGCGAGAGCTGAGCCCCCCACCCAGTCCCCCAGCCTGCGGGTGCAACTGCATCCCTAAAATGTTCCTGTTTCGCAAAAAGGGCAGGAAGCAGGAGAGGCAGAAAGAGGAGGAGCAGCTCCAGCAGCTTCAGACAGAGAGGAGAGAAACGGAGCTGACTAAGAAGGAAACCACCCAGAAGAGAAAGAAGGAGAGGCAGAGGAAGGTAATTCAGCCTAGTGATTAGTTCATCATGAAATGATATACTGGGTATTCGCAGGTCATTATAAAGCTGTGTTTAGCAGATTCTCCACAAGGGGGCGCTATTAGCATTCGAAGCGCTGTTTTAAGTCTCACTGAAAAAGTTCACAACAGCAGGATTGCACTAATGCATGTATGTTTGTAACTGTTAGTTATAGATTTCAAGAATATGAAGTGATTTGCTGCTAATAGGCTAACTGGCCATTCCAGTAATACTGAGAGTTAGCATTTACTGAAGAATTCATTATAAAACCTACAAAAGTAAAGAATATGATACTGCATTGTCTGTCGCAAGCTTGCTTCAAATGCCTGCATTTATGTAGGGCTGGCTAAAGTAGTGTTGAACTCTACTTTGAGAAGTGAATGTCAACCACCGCTAGTTTGGTGCTAACATAACATTGAAGCGTTGACAGACTTGAACATTATCTTAGCAGTGGAACTCACACTAATTATAAAGTGAGAATTTCTTCATTGCATACTGCTATTTAAGTTACTGTGTAGTCTGTGACCTTATCTCCTAAAATTTTTTAAAATAATTTCATAATTAATCTCAGAATTTGGAGCAGGAGAAGGATAAGGAGATCAGGGATCTGGAAGAGGCAGTGAGACTGCTCGAGGAGGAGATTCAGGGATTCAGAGAGAGAAAGAAAGAGCTGAAAAGAGAGCTGAAGACCCTGAAGAAGAAAATAGCAGGAGTAGAGATGGAGACTTCAAAAACCAGACAGACAAAGCAGGAATGGAAGAAAGAGATGGAAGCAATGAAGGAAAGAATGATACAGGAAGAAAAACAGAGGGAGGAAAAGAGGACGGGACAAAGGGAGGTCATCTGTAAAGAAATAATCATTACTGTAGCCAAGACAGAAAGAAAAATGGAAGAAAAGAAAGAAAAGCAGGATGATAGGAAGATGGCTACAGTCAGTGAGAGGCAGGAAGTTGTAAAGGAGAAGAAGAGTGAAGAAGAGCTGCTTGAGGAAATGGAGAAGCAGAGAGAGGAGGAACAGCTGAAAGAGAGGAGAGAGAGTCAGGAGGCAACAGAGAGCAGAAAAGAAGTTGTGATCGAGATAGAGAACCTACAGGTGAGACTCAAGCCCACCTTCTAAATGGGCCTGTAGAAAAAGAATACAGGGGTGAAGAGTGGTCGGGGTTAAAAACAGCGAGCCTCATTCACCAACCGTTCTTAAAAAGAAATTTCTTTCTAAAACTCACCCACGCAGTATTCATGTAGATTCTGACATTCAGCCATCTGTTCTTATTTGGGATTTTTTTAGGTAAGAACAGAATCTATGCACACTCAAGAGCAAAGGTGTGAACAGTCTTTAAGAACACATCATGAACCTGACAGACTTTTTCTTAGGACCTTTCTTAAGAAAAAATGAAAGAAAAAAACATAAGAAGATAGTGGTGAATGAGGCCCAGTGTCTTCAACTTACTTAACCCTTTAAAATCCCAGGCTTATTACATTCTAAAGCCTTTTTTCAGTAACTTCTGGGCTTCAATGCAAACTGGCTGAGCTATGCTTACGATGTAACAGTGTGTAATAAAGCTTTGGACCCTGGCCATTTAAGAGGTTAATCCATTTGAACCTTGTGCTTATTATTCGGTAACTACTATTAATTTTTATGAGTCTACTAAGTGCCATTATATCATCATTTTTAGCCAATATGTTGAAACCAAGACAAAGTCATATTTCTCAGCAGCTGATGTCTGGATGGTTGTTTAGATGCACAGAGTTCTAGAACTCACACATTCTGTTTTGTTGTGTTGAATAACTCTGTTGGTAACGTGGCTTGATTATATAATATGTAAACAAAACCATGTTTGAATCTCTCAGATGGAGCCTGCAGCACCCAGCACGTCTAGGAAAAATGTGGTGCAGAGAGTGCTGTCCAGTGTTCTGTCCAGTATTCACTCTGGAATTCAGTCCTTCATAGAGGTAATTGCTTCCTCCCTCACTGTGCAAAAAGATGCATTTACATGATATTTTTCATGGAAAGCTGCCATTGAAATCTGCTCCTTTTATACAATAAACAATAAACAGTATTTCATTCAAGGAGTCTCACCATTAAAATTTGTTGTTGTACAGATTCAAAAATTAATTGAGCATTTTATTTACTGAAACTCTGTATATTTTTGTTTGCTTACCTTTTTTTGATTCTGCACTGCAGTTCCGGAAAAAATTCTCAATTCAGCCTGTTCAAGATGAGAAAGAGGAGCTTAAGGACAAGTCCCCATCTCGTCCATTGGTGCCACTCGGAGCTCCGGTTTGTCTTTTTAATTTTATAAGCATAACAAGTAGATTAAAATATTTTGAAACGTCTCTTTATTTCAGCATTTTACACCTTGGCTCTCTCACTGTCCGCATGGTGGGATGCTATCAAGTGTAAAGTCATCTTAATCGTGAATATCTTAGGGAATGATGCGAATGGATGTTTTTATGTTTTTTTCCTTCCACAGACTGGGGTCCTGACTATACGCATAAGAAGCTGCAGAGACTTCAGGAAAAACAGTATCCTTAGAGTTTATTCCAGTCTCACTGTTATATGTGTAGTCTGTGGGTTTGTGTTGATATCTAGCCATGAAACTATAATCGGTTGATTTTGTCTGCATGGATCAATTGTGCTGGTTCTGGTTTGGCTGTTTTCCTGACCCCTGCACCAGCACGTATACAGAAAGACACTCAGTGTATGGTGAGGATCACTGTTGGGAGAATGGTGAAGTGCTCCAGACTGCAGCCCTTCGAAGACAACCTGACCTTCAGTGAAGTGAAACACTTCTCCATACAGGTTAATATTACTTATTAGTGTCTTCTTCTTGTGTACAACAGATAAATAAGTAAAGTTACAATTAAAGATTTTATTAAATTTGTATATCACTCAAATGATATTAATCATTCTCAATGCCATCTTAAGGGTCGTATCATTACTGTATTTACACAAACAAATTTTATTGGATGGGCGCTTGAAGGGGTGAGGGATAGAGTGAATTTAGGTGTTCACTTCAGCGGCAGAAGTCACAAATCAATGCAATCTGAAGCAACTGCCTTTTCAAACCTGTAAATATGCAATATAGCTTTAAGATACTTTGAAATGCTTAATATTTTAAAATCATAACATTTTATTAGCAAACTACTCCTTCTGTTACACAGGACTGCTGATACAACTTCATTACTTTACTCTTCTATTTTACTAATTAGTCATTTAAAGGCTACACAGCTAGCAGCAACAACAAATAAAGACAATACACTATGATTCTAAACCAAACGTTATAGCTGTACAAAGAAATGATTCACAAAATGCAAGCTATAGGGTAAAGCACTGCAATGCTCACATGTCATACTTCTTATTTTAATTTAGCACAATAATATTATTTACCACAATAATTGTGCAAAAGATAATCGTTTGTTTCAAGTTGCATTATTATCCAAACAGAGTAAGTGGCTGCTCACATGATTAGAAACTGCACAGATGAGAAGAACTGCTTTGCCAAAATAATTGAAATCCTTCTGGGCTTTCCTGACTGTGTTTGCAGATCCAAAAAGAAGGGGCTCTAGGGGTCCAGGAGTCCAGTTCAGTGAAGGTGGATTTAATCTCTTTTGGTGGTGATTCAGCTGCCCCCAAACTCATGGGCAGCACCACCATCAAGCTGCAGGAAGTCCTTTTTGTGAGACACACCCTCATTCACACATCTGTAGAAAGTTTTCTTTTAAGCCACTCAGTGTCTCTAATTACCAATAATGACTAACATAATGATTCTTTTTTTTCCAGCAGAAATCATCGGTTAGCCAGCAGATTGATTTGAGGCTTGGAAACAAAGTAAGTCATGCTTTTGAAATATTACATGAATTTTTTCTGTTTATGTGAAAGAAAAGAGATGTAAGATTGATTTCTTATAATTTCAGAAAGTGTGCAAGTTGGATGCAGACCTGACTTTTACATACGGGTCCTTTGGCTATGGGTACTCTCACCAGGTTGGTGTTCAGAACAGATGCAGATTGTACTGATATCTATAGAAGTGTGGTGGTCATGTTGTTGCTTATAGTAAAAGAAGATCTTGATAGTGAGCACATTGTTTTTCTCTCACTACAGATGAAACATCCTGGAAGAAAGATGAAGAATCTGGTGGAGGAGTCCCTCTTTCTCCGCTGCCCACCTCCTGAGGACAGAAGAGATCCACACTAGTGAGCTATATAGACATTCTTTAAAACAATGACTAAAATAATATTTGTATAAGCATTTATATTATAGAAATTACTAAAGAGATTTTTCAGTTCTAAAATCCAATTGGACGAGCCACACATATGACCACACATTTCACTTGAGTTCTGTATCATTATTCTTTAAACATTATCTTGTTTGGCATCCATAACCTGCAGTTAACAAACTACATTGCTTAGCAGAAGAATTTTGTACTGCAATTATTATTCACAGTAATGACATACGTATATTTTATTATATTGTATTTAGTTGCTGTTTTTCAGTGCAAAATCACTGTTACATACAGCCTCTTGTGTCTTATATTATTAATGAAACATTCAAAGATCTGTCACTATCAGTAAATAATAGTAACACTATAATTCATCATTTATTTAATGTTTGTCTGATATTTTCAACAAATTGACATATTTCTCTCTCTCTCTGTCAGCAATGTGACGACCCCTTGCAGACCATCCTCGGTCAACATCATGTCATCTCTGATACAGCGAGACGCACAGAGAGACAATAAATGCAGAATATCAGCTGGCATAATGAACTGCATGGAGAGGAGAGGCAGGTCAGTGTCGAGCTTCATTAAGGCCTAAGCTGAGACTAGCATGAAGAAGCCACACAATGAACTTGGTCTAGACCAGGGCAAATTATATAGTGATTCTGTGCAGTAATTCATACCACATAAGAGTAGAGCTGCAACCGACATCTGTTTTTATAAACTAATCAGCTCATTATGACTTTCTTTAGTCAGTCACTCATTGAAAGAAATAAAAAATGCAATTATTAGCCTCCCAATAAATTAATATTTCACAATATTATACACAATGTTTTACAAATTAAAAATACAAGGATTATGTCTTACCATATAGTTTAAATCGTATTTAAAAAAAACCAAAAGGACTTTTATCAAGGGCGCAGCAACAGATCTGCATTTCCCTCCAAAACACTGCTTTACTCAGTGTGAATGGGGCAGAAAGAGTAATGGAACAACACATAAACAAGTCTTAAATGGCAGTACAATCATTATGCAGGCAGGTTGATTTTACAAGAACTTTGCATTGCTATTCAAATGATTTATCCTCTAATGATGAAGCAAAAATAAATGAAATAGTTCTGGGTGGTTGGTAACAATATATAATGAAATCTGATATTGCTAACCACACAGAAACAGTTTGGTCATCATCTGTGATATTCTATATACAATTTCTAACCACTTGGTGGAAGTGGGGGTTGTCCACCTACATCCAAGGGAGCTTGGCAAGTAAATTTCTAATATGGATGGAATTAAAGTATGTATAGTAGACACTTTCTTGGATATCACATAATAATGTTAGTGCAACATCAAATAGAAAGAGGGATGGCAGGTTTTACAAGGGGTGGTGGCTTTCGTCATAATCAATGAGTCATTCTGCCATGCTGGGTAAGATCATCAGATAGAACATCAGATAGAGAACCCTCTTTTTAGATGACCTTAAAGTGGTGTTGCCATATTTTTCTTTTCCTGTCGTGCACAGCCTTGTACTGTAGTGTCTACCATCTACATTTTCCCTTTGAATTAAGTGATGTAAATGAGAAGTGGAAACACTTTCAGTCTAATCTAACTAATTGATAATTGGATTCCTTGCAGTCTTTCATTATCAGTGTTATCAGTGATTTTGATCAGTCGTTGCAGCTCTATATAATATTTAGGAACAGTTTAAGCATTCCCAGTTTTGATTTAACTTTCGTGAGAATCCTTGTTATGTGATAATATTACAAGTTGAGAAAATCTAACAATTTATAACTCTTTATGGTTTTATTTGTGTTTTTCAGGTTGTCACAGCTTCATAAAGACTTGGAGGACTGTGAGACAGGAGAGGATAGGGTGCAGTTACTGGAGAGTTTGATCTTGAAGACAGGAACTCGCACCAGCTCTCCCTGTAAAACGAACCAGAGCACAGAGGTGTGTGGGATGGTGGTGCACACCTCTGTATAACTCCTGTGCTAGTATGGTGTATTGTTGTGTTAGATACTACGCTAAAAGCAAGGTAATGTTGTCTGTGACAGATCCGGTCTGAAGAGGCGGAAGAAAGGAGAAGAGAGGAGAATAGTGAAGATGGAAAGGCAGAGGAGACAGTTAAAAAAGGAAAAGCAAAATGTAAGGTGAGGAAGTAAGGCAAGGCCTCGCAGTCTCCTCAGCCAGCCTCACTCCCAGTGTCATTCTCTTATGGCCTCCAAGTCTCCTCTGGATGAAACTCTGGTATAAGTTGAAGGTTTGATTATTTTAATTACATTTTTCCATGCATGGGAAGAAGCGGACAATTCCTGAAGCCCCTGTCTTAGCCACAAACGGACACACCAAATGTATACATCATTCTGACTGTGGCTGAACGTTTATATATATTCAATCATACATATAAGGGTATACTAAATTCACATATTACCTAGAGAATATTTGGTAATTGAATTAAGAAAGTCAACATCAGAAGAAAAATAACATGCCTTAACTTGTTGTTAAAAGAGAATATCGGTGTGTTTTTTACCACTGGATTTACAATAATGAGCAATACCAGGATCCCAGTAGGAATAAGAACTATTTCTTAATACCTGCAGTATTCAGCCTTGTTAAAATTCTAATCCATGAAAAAATTGGCATTAAAGGGGTGGGCATTACACTGTCTCTTTATGTATTTACTTATTTGATCCATGATCTAATTACGCACAAGTCTTTACCAGATCTTTGTATGTCTCATCCAGAACACAAAATGACCAGCCTACGACTGACTGCTGGTGAATCCTCCTGAGCCTCATATACAGGTACACGGTGCAATCTTTTTAACCTGATATTTCCATGCATGGATAGAAGTGGTCCATTCCTGCAGCCCCTTTGTTGGCCACATTTCATAGCCTTTTAAGCTATCAGAGAGAATAGACACATGGCTTCCACTACATCCATCCCAATTCTTATAAGGAATTTGGACTGTTCTGCCCCACAGTACAGAATGGAATGTGGTGTCTGAAGCTCAGATGATGATGAGCCCCAATTTTCACAGCTGCCCAGCCAGATTTCCAGTCTCCTGCTCTGATGGTCTCCCCAGTCTCCAGCTCAGCCAGAATCACAGTCTCTCTTCCTGCATTGGCTCTCATCAGCAACAGCACCATCCTGTTTTCCGCCTACTCAACATTCCACACACCTGCAGCTGAATCAAAAACTCATTTACGAGATAACAAATACCTCTAGCTTTGGTCTCGTCTTTTGCAAAATCTTGTAATTCTCATGTTCAACTTTCTCAGTGTTTACAGTTCTTCGTTTTTCTGTGATTTGGCCCCTGCTGTTTTCAGATTATGGATTTTTCTTGTCTGCCTGCCTGCCTGTGGACTGACCACTGCCTGTGCCCATGACAATGAGTACTGGAAGCCCCATTGAAGCTGGTCAACACATGTGGCCTGCCTACACTTCTAGTTTACAGATGGCACTGATCCAGTACCAGGTATTGGAATTTCGTTGATGTCAGCAGAAAATTCCGCATCACATATTAGAGAGAAAAATGGAATGAACCCAATCCAATCCTTTAACAAATCTCTAGCTGAATAGCTACATTTCCAACTTCTCTCTTTCTCCGTCTTTATCTATGTATCTCTCTCTCTCTCTCTCTCTCTGTCTGTCTCTCTCTCTCAGTAATGTGATGACTCCTTGCACACCACTCACAATAAACTTCCACTCCGATTTTTATGTTAGGGTTTTAGAGTATACTGCTTATTCAAAGGGATTGGTGGAAATTCAGAGATGGTAGCAAAGAGCTGAGAATGAGTATAAATATCCTTTATATTTGGAGTTTGTGTGCTTGATATTTTTAATCAATGATTTACAGTAACTGATGTGTGAACATCATACAGAGGAAAATACATTATGTATGGGCCTTAGAAAACAGTATTATGTCTAACAAACAAAATATGAGGAACCATATTACTACCTGTACTCATTGAAAAGAGGGGTTTTTTTGTCCATATAAAACTGCACGGTATAAGTAATGTTTTCTGATGGCGCCATTAAACAAGATAAATATACAGGATTAACATGATGAGCCTATGCAGACAAGCGCTATAGGAGAGTTAGTTAGGACTTTTCAATAGAATACTGTTAGGAAGACGCGGGACTTTCTCATAAATAGCTGTAGTTTCCGGCCTCGTGTTCAGTCAGTTAGTTGAGCGTGTAATGTTCGGATGTGCGATATTTATGTAGAAACCAAAGTGTTCTTATGTAGAACAACGTGGAACTTCTCTGGTACACAATCAGATAAAAAGTGACTACAGTTTAAACTTGTCCACTCCCACAAAAAGAAGGAAGAATAGAAGATAATTCAAAAATGAAAAATCAAATCAGGACCCTAATCATGAAAAGAGAAAAAAAAACAATATAGATAAAGAATTATAATAAAATAAAGAACCAGAATAGAGATGAAGAACCAGTATTATATTATACAGGGAGATTCACTCGAAAGAGGCCCCAAATATTCTGTTGTAACTCCCGTTAGGATGAAGCAATCTGAACCAAAAAAAACCCTACATACCTTGACGTATGTGTAATCGATTGCATTACATGTGATGCTGGGAAGTGATCTCCGTTTTCTGCCAGACACATGAAGGGGTACAGGGGTATGCATTCGGAAGTTGCAAATGGAGGTTAAACGTCACAACAGCTGTCTGGCGCCTTCCTCATCACTTCAACGCAGGGGCATCCCGGCTTGTTCAAAGCTCCATATACTGAGGAGCTCATTCCACATTGTTTCGGTCAGATTGATTCATCCTAGATAGAGTTATTACAGAATAGGCCTCTTTCGAGTGAATCTCCCTGTAATATATATACTAGAATATAACTAGAATATAGTAAAAGAAGCAGAATATAGATAACACTAAAATGCATTTGACAAAATGGTTATTTTTATATGTACAGTGCTAATTATGTTGCAGTTTATGACGCTGATTATTGTCTTCTATATTACATAATGTATTATTATTATTGTTGTTTTTGTTGTAATATTATTATTATTTTTATTGTTGTTGTTGTTGTAATTATTATTATTAGTTGTTACTAGGCCTATTATTATTATTATCATGTATAGTCTCTATGGTGGTGAACTTATATGTGTATGTTTCCTTAATAACCATAACCAGAGTTCCACTATTACAAGTCACAGAACCTTTTTGCTGCTAATGTCCGTTTGTATGTATTTCGATGATGTGTATCTATAGTGGAACCCAGTAGAACCTTTGCGGAGGGTGTAGAACGAGCTTTTATGATGCTTGTGTCAGTCAGTGCTGACACAGAAAAAAAGCATTCACCTCCAATCAAATAGTAATGGTTAATGGATAAATATAAAGCTGTATATTTAAATTTACATTTTCAGCTACAAATCTGGATTTTTTCACTTTCAACACTTTCCTGAAGAGATTTTATACAGCTTACTTCAGGAAAAAGATATTTAAGTGAAAACTCAAGGCCAAAAACTCACTTAAAAGGTCTTATACAAGCTACCACTAGATTTGTACTTTGAAGGTTTTAAACGAAAATGGAAGAAGTAAAATTTATTTTTTTCTCCGGACTTTTGTAATGAGTACAAATACTCAATTTTAACACATCTTCCAAAATAATATCCACAGATTTAAACTTTTGTTTTAAAATCTCAAACTTTGTTGTTGTTGGTTTCCCCCCCTTTCAATGATGCACATAAAAAATACTGTGCTAATATCGATCCCTTGTGGAAAATGCTACATTGTCTGTTGTGCAAACAGGATTCTGCTGTAATTTTGATAATCTGTTACTAGTTTGTTTTAGTTATGCTTGATTTTTTTAGACAGTAATGCATTTAAAATGATGTGACTGCTAAACTGGTATAACGCACACATTGCTAATGGCATCCACTTGTGGAGAATGCTACTTTGTCAGCAGGACAAAAATACATTAACATTTGTGTCTTATCAAAACAAAGCTGCTGTGGGATAAAGTCGGTAACTATGTGTAATGGTGTAATCTGGTAGGTTACCTGTATTTCTTTCCCTGATTTCTTGTTTTTTATGTTTTAAATCTCAGGGCTGTCTAACATGGCGGGTGAAGCACTTCCTAACACAGCAGCAGGTCTCTCTTGGAGCCTGATGACTCGGCTTTGTCACGGACGTCTCCCGTTCTTGCAGAGCCTGACTGATCGGTATGTACGCAGGACTGAGTGGTCCAGCCAGGATTTAATTCAATTCAATTTACTCTACATAAACAGTATCATGCATACACAATATACAAATGTATGTACAAGTATACGAATATTAAATATACCTATCAATAACATTGCTATGCATACAAAATAAAATATCTACACTCCTTGGCAAAAAATTGGCCAAGCCCAAAATGGCAATTGTTAAGCTTTTGATCTTAAAGAAATAGATGCAGTAAGTTAGTGTGGAGAGCTTTTCGCCTTTATTTTCTTTAAATATTGAAATTTTGTGTGTAAATTTGCAGAAGTCTTTTACAGAAAGAAGAGTCAGTATTGAATCGTAAAGATTGTGACCACCGTATCACACAAAATCATCGTTCCAAAGCTTGGAGAGGTTTTGAACGTGGACTCTCAGACGCTTTTCTTTGCAAGCCCAGGATCTTCATGTCATTCTTTGCAGTCGGTCACCAAAGATGTAGTCAGTGCCATTGTTGAGACTATCGGTGGCTCTCTTGATGAAAAGGAGGATTCTCACATGGTCGAGCTTCTTAGCAATGTGATGGAAATGGTTGAGCTCCTGCATCCAAACATAGGTCAGTCGAGCGCCTTCATTCATCACTGCCTGTTGAGCTGAGGACCGAGAAACCCAAGAAACAGACATCTGAAGATCACGCACTTCAGAAAGAGGTGATACTAGAGATCTGCTCCATGAATGAAGCTAAAGAACTCAAGAGGGAAAGTGTGACAGATCTGACTTACCCTCCCAAGATGTGCATCACAATCAGGGAGTTAGTTGAGTGAGGACTCTCGAAACAAGGCAGCTCAGGAAGGAGTCAAATCCTACTGAAGTCTTCAGAGAGCTGCCTTGTTAGTTCTTTCCATTTGCTCACGAGTGCTCACACCAGCCAGACAGATTCAGTGTGAAACCAACTCCGTCTGAATGCTCAGTAAAGGCATTTGCAATCGTCGATTCTGTCATTGATGGAATTTGCACATATTTTGCGCAAGAGCCTATACTTCCATCTCAAGATGCCAAAAATCAAACATCTTCAAAAAGGTAAAGATAATTTTGAGTAGTTTTACTGTGCTATTTTATCCGTGATATTAATTGCATTATATTAGTAGCATAATATTATATGCATATTAGTATTAACATTTTAATTGTGATAAGACTTAAATGATTACGAGGTTGATAATATGATTAATGTCTCACATCACAGAGATCCAAAAAGGACAATAATGCCAGATCTCATACTTCAGATCAGGACCGTTTGCAGAGTCATCGCACTGCTGATATGAGTAAGTTGCATTGTTAATCTAGTTTATATATAGTTAGATTTAATAACGTGCAAAAGGGGTGAAATAAATGGCAATGTACTTTAAAAGTAGACATTTCATAGATAATAATATATCCATTTCAATTATTAGGTAGGCAAACACTGAATGTGAGATTTTCTCTCTGCAGGTGGAGCCAACAGTGAGACTTCAAAAAAGGAGAAACCTGGAGACCTTCCATTTGCACCAGGATGTTCTCCTGCTTCAGGAAATGAGCTGCCTCATTCCTCTGTAAGTTTGTTTATCTAATCATCATCACTTCTTCACCTCTCTTCATGCTCTCGTTAGGCTGATCCTGCCAGAAAACAAAATCACTTATCACAGTTATCCTGACGACACCCAGGTTTACTTCGCTCTCTCACCAAATGACTGTGGTCCCACAGATACTGTGTGTCAGTGCTCAGTGCAAATCCGGAGTCGACCAAAGGAGGATAGGTTCCCCATTTGAGTCTTGGTTCCTCTCAAGGTTTCTTCCTCTTGCTGTTGGGAGTTTTCCTTGCCACTGTCGCCCTCGGCTTGCTCATTTAGGGCTGGACCCGGATTTTCTCTAAAGCTGCTTTGTGACGCTCGTAAAAAGTGCTCTAGAAATAAATCTTGAATTGAATTAAAAGATCTGTCAACATTTCCTCCAGCTAAATAAAGACAGGAGTAATATTATTTGGCAATGAGGAGGAAAGACTGAAGGTCAGTGAGCACTTCAGAGCTCCAATGATTAAAGACCAAGTCAGAAACCTGGGTGTACTAACGGATCCAATTAAACCTTAAATCCTGCCTGAAATTTTAGTCCAGATCTGAATTTTGGCTAAGAACCTTCTGTTCCAAGCTCAATGTGACCTGAACCACATAAGTTTACAGTCTAAAATTGATCCCACTCCAACAGAATTCTGCCCAAAACTGACCCAAAGTGGCCAATCATCACACAACGTACCAAAACTAAAACTCTAAAACTCTCTTAAAACTCTATTTCTTTGAATAGAATGTATTCAACATAAAGCAGAAACAGGTTTGGCCAAAATATGAAACATAAACGTCTGTTTAGCTGCAGTAAACCAGCTCGCTGCTGCTCGAAGCTGGAAACAGCTGCCAGAAGATCTCTGATCTGCCCCTCATTTGTCCATCTTTGAACTCTTCTTTTTATTTTGTGTGTCTTTCACACTTTCTCTTTAGACTTTGCACTTCTTTTTAGTTCCTTTTATTTTTTATTTCCCCCTTATTTTATTGTGCTGTTTTTATTTTGCTTTTATTTATGTAAAGCACTTTGAACTGCCCTTCTTAAAATAAACTTGTAATAAATAAACATGACTCCTGAAATCTAATTAAACCTTTAAATTTATGATTCATCTGTGGAAAAAAAGGTTATCTATCTATCTGTCTATCTATCTATCTATCTATCTATCTATCTATCTTGCTATCTGTCTGTCTCTTTATCTGTCTGTCTCTCTATCTGTCTGTCTTGCAGATGCAATAAGACAAAAGAGCAGTTCCATACTTTGATGTTATTATGGGCACTAAAGAGTCGCTGTGCATGTTTACTAAAGTATTTTCATTAAACAGTTGGTGTAAAATTTGGCTACAAGCTGTTTTTGCTCTAGAAAAATCATATATATAAAAAGGTTCTATATAGAACCTCTACAGCACATTCTCCATTAATCTGAAGAACTATGTCAGCATACAAAGAAAGTGCTCATGGTTCTCGACAGGAACCCTTGTCTGTACTAAAGAACCCTTGTGATGTGATCTCTCTGTTTGGTTTTTGTTAGGATGCTTACATATTTTGTATGAGTTGTAAAGAATGTATTGTTTTTCTTAGGAAGTCCAGTAAGAAGAGCATTACAGTGATCAAGTCTGCCTTGTAACAAATGCATGAACAAGTTTCTTTGTGTCGCTCTGAGGTAGAAAAGGCCAAGCTTTAGCAATATTTCTCAGATGACAGAAAGCTACTTTAGTGACAGTGGGATAAACAGAGCCCAGAGTCTAAGAACACATCCACAGAAACCATGAACTGCCTATTACCTAAATATGATTTAAACCATTCTAAAACTGTGCCTGAGAGGCGACCCAGCATTCAAGACGTTGGAGTAGAATCTCACGGTCGACGGTATCAAAAGCTGCCACTAAGGATTTTGGCATCAGTGCTGAGTCTGAGGTCATTTACAACGCAAACATGTGTCTCAGTACGGTTATAACCAAAACTGACTGAAACTTCTCGATATTTGATGCACATTATTTGTTTGAAAACAACGTTTTCTAAGACTTGCTTAAAAAAAGGCAGGTTTGAAATTGGTCCTAAAATTATTAGTGTGGAAGGATCCATGCTACTGTTTTTTTAGCAGAGGCTTCACCAAGGCAGTTTTAAAAGCGTCTGGAAAGCACCTGTGACAGAGAACAATTTACAATAGCTAAAACAACATTGTGAACATATCAAAAACTATCTTAAGCATTGAAGTGGGAACAGGGTCAGATCACACTTTTTATGTTTTTACTGCGTGAATCTCGTCTTAATGGTGATATGATCTCCGTGTTTAACCCTGTTACTCACTTTAACTCTGATCTAAGGACTCATCCCTGTTATCCAGTAATATTTTGATGAACATAGCCTTTAAACATTTCATGTAGTACACTTTTAAATTTTAAACACTTAGTTTGATTAATACTTTATCAAAAACACCAACGAAAAAAAATAGTTTATTTTAGCCTCGAAACTCTTTATTCACAGAGTGCCAGGAAGTGGCGACTGCCCAGTTCATCACACTGATCAAGCTTCCCTGCCATTAAGGACATCTACACCCAATAGTATAAAAGAAAAGTGTGCAGCATTAGGAAGGATCTCTCTCATCCATCACACAGAGGTTTACATCCATCCCATCTGGAGGAAAACTAAAAATAAAAATACATAAAAATACACACCCTATTGCTGCTGTGGACCAACAGCTGTCTCTTTTCTCTGCTCTCCTGAGCTTCATGGTGCTGTAGTGTATAGTTACTGTATATGTACAGAAAAGGTATCTATAATGTTTGTATGGTGTGACTGTATTTATTAATTTATCTGTGATAGAAGAAATGACAGCTGACTTGACTGTGTGAGCATTCTGTTCAGTAAGTTTCTCTAGAATGGTGCATTTCACATATCTCCTCTCAATGACTTTGTTTACATAACCAATTAATTATGCAGAAATGTTATAAAATGAAATATGAAATATTCCTTTTAGGAAAAACTTATTCTATTGTGTGAAGTTAAGGAACATTTTGGCATTGAGTGGCTAAGGAAGCGGAGGTGAAGCGTAGTAGTTAGTGTATTTGTGCTCTAGTCGTGACACTGTGCCTAGCACTGCAGAACACAGAATAACAACGAATGATGCACTCATGAAGAGCTGTACTGGTACATGACCTGCTAATAACACTCTCTCGTCTCTCTCTACTCTCTCTCTCTCATGTAAAACATGTCAAAGCTCACCAATTCAGCCTAAAAATATATTTACATAGTAACAAGAAAATTAACTAATTTTATTCAACCTAAATAAATACACTGAATGATGATGAAAAATGATTTATGACTATTTGGTATATAATCCTACACAAATATTATAAAGTGGACCTCGGTGAACATCACTATTCCTTTTCATTCCTCCTAAAAAATTGTTATTATTTCAGCTCCATTAAATATCAGCTCTGCCAGTTTTCTTCCAGCTACATTAAGACAGCATTCAATTATGTGAGGAACATGTGGAACAATTTCAGGTTCACCGTACATCCTGCTTTTTAGCCATTTCCAAAAGAAAAATAACATAAGAACAGTGATTCGTTTAAAAATATAATAAGTTTAATGCAGGCTAGATATTAAAAGTGTTAAACGTTTTTGTTCTCCTTTAAATGTTTTAGTAAAGCTACATTTCTCTTCTTGGGCTCTGGATGATTGTGCAAGTGACTAAATCCAAAGCAGTGGTGGAAGTAACAAATCAGCTGCTGTAGATCTCTGTTAGTGAACTCACAGCTGCTCTGTGATGCTGTTGGTTACATTCTGGTTACCTTTCACTGAGTGTCCTGCTTTATTTAGCTTTAAACTACAATCAGCTACAGACTTTTGTTTAAACTTTCCTTTAATCTGACTTTAATTCTTCATGTAAAAAGCCAGATTCACCTCAATCAAACTAATGATACATGCAGTAAACACTGGTCAATACAAAAGTACTTAATAGTTTAAGTGTTTGTGTTTACTTCTTTATCCAGTCGCTATAATTCTGATAATATTTCATCATTTATACTAAAGTTAAAAGTTTGTACCTTTTTACATTTAGGAATACAGTCCTATGCAACACTGAGATTGGGACTTACACTGGAATATGCATTTTTCTGCCAATTTTAAATGTTTATACAATTTGTGTTTATTGCTGAGATACACATACTGGAAAAAATGCAAAACAAAAAAATATAAACTCTGCCATAACT